GAGGGGGAGGGGGAGGGGGAGGAGGGGGAGGAGGAGAGAGGAAGGGAGAAGGAGAAGAACAAAGTATAGTGGAGTAGAGAATGAATGAGTCACTTCATTGGTGATGAGAGCAGTTCACAATTTCATATCTGATCTTGTGGGGACATTCTGGAGGCCTCACATTCAAGCAGTTATGAATTTGTGACCCAAAATGTTTGCAGTTACAAAATTTGCTTTGTTTTCAGGTACCATTCTATGTTCTTGTAGCAATTTGGCTCTTTCCCTTACCCCATATCCCTCTGCCCATAGTTCAGTGGAAAGATCGTCTCCAAACCCAAATTATTTTAGTGCTGTTTAAATGCCAGACTTCCATGAAAACTCAACAGAAATGAAAGCCAAAGAGAAAAGCAGAGATTTTTTTTTTCTTTCTCATAGATCCACTGCTTTGTTCCTTTGTGAAAGATTAGTTTTCAGGACAATAGGACATGGAAACAAGAGGGTTTTTTGTTGTTGATGTTTTTGTTTTCTTGTCCTTTTGTTTTGTTTGTTCATTTTTCTACCTTTGGGAGAGTAAGGGGAGCACAGAAATGGTAGGACAAAGGGTGAACAAATTCAGCAATGCTACTCACTAGGCACTGTCGAAAATCAACTATACAACTTGTGGGTGGCGATGGAAAGAGGGACATTTGTCTATAAAGAAATGTACTCTTTACCTGACTTATGTAACTGTCACCCTTCGGTACATCACCTTTACAATAGCAATAAAAATGCATTAATAAAAACAGTTCATGAGGACAATTTAAAAATTCATTTCAACTCTCCCCATCACCTAATAGAACGTGTGTCCTGGTGCAACAAGTGCTTACTGAAGCAAATCTGGTTCTGTCCCAGATGTGGAGCAGGATCATGTTAGCTGAGGAGAGCTTGGGGGTAGGAATTGAGATTCAGGTGTTTTGGTACTCTGAATGCTCAAGTCACGTTGTATGGATCCCTCTCTTCTCATCCTGCCATATCCTCAAACTATTTATGTCTTGGCTCCATCTCCAGCCCAGCATGATCATACAGGATTTGTCAGTGCATGGTTGCCATCCTTCAAAGATGTGATGGCCTTGGAAAATATATTTCTAGGGGCTCCCATCTATACAATCAATTTGAGTGACCCCCAAGCTAGCTTCTTTCTGATAGCTCCATCTCATAAAATTCCATGGAGAACCTTGTAAAATTCCATGGAGGTCAATAGACCTTCCTTTTCCCCTCCACCCAGTTGTAAAGTGCAGACTCTGGAAAATCTGTCTGGACCTATATGAAGGGTGGCTGACAAGTACAGGTGGAAAAGCCTACTAAAGAGGAGAAGCAAAGTCTCAGAGAGCAGCCCCCAGGCTCCCAGCTTACGTCTTAATGTCTGTTTAACCTGGCATTGCTGCCTCACTGTTCTTGGGCACCAGAGGTGAGAATACAACAGTTTGCAGAAGATACTGTAGGACACAGAGCCTGCTTAGGTCTGGAATAAGCCCGATTCATTAAGATCTTAGGGCAATGCTGCTGCTCAAATCCCTATATCATAATAGTCATGCAGCTATCCAGATATGGATATATATATATATATATATATATATATATATATATATGGATATCTATATATATCGTGTCTGGATAGTCATGCAAATATAGATAGATAGATAGATAGATAGATGTCTGGATAACTGAATACAAAAATACAAAAACCTTCTCATCATTTCTGAGATTTACAGAATCTTGGAGTTGAATGGGATCCTGAGAGTATTTATCTTGGAAGGTATACTAAAGATTATACTGGTTTGTCTATTGAAACCCTATTCTCAGTATTTTCAAGGATGAAACAATAATGGAATCAAACACACCAAAATGAATTCCCAGTCTCATCTTACATTTTTCTATAATGGTATATAAATATGGCAGAATAGGAAGTCTGGCTTCCTTCTACTGAAACTCCATTATTCTTTTAAGATAGACTGGAGCAGATTTGCCATGTAATTAAGCTATGCTGCACTGAACCAACAAATGAGCTGCCTGCAGTGGGCCTGTTATGAGTCTCAGGCAGGGTCATGATTTTCTGTTCCTTAGAGAGAAAAAGAAAGACCTAACTCAGGCTACACAGACCAGATGGTATTGAAAATCTCCCGGTGAGGCATCATTCATGCATGCCAATCAACTCAGAAGTATTGACCTGCACAGAGGAAAGGGACGTCTTCCTAGATGTTAGAGGCAATACACATTTGAAGGAGCAAGACACACCTTTCAAAGGGAATCACCAGACCACATGGTTTCTCTCTGGAATGTGGCACTTGATTTGCACTCTCTACAATGTTGTTTTATGGGATGGATATATGACAGCCAACAACAACAAAAAAAAACTGTAGGAAAAGTTCATTTCATGTAAAATGGGGATCGTTATGATAATACTACCTCATTAAGTGAGAAACCGAATTTTGTCAAGTTTGTAAGATAGATACCGTGTAAAAATGCTTCTCAGACTTTAATTTGCATATAAATTCCTCAAGGATTTAAAAAAAAAACCCACCATAGATTCTGATTCAGCATGTCTGGAGTGTGATCTAGGATTCTGTACTGCTATCCAATGCTCTGGTGGCAGTATGCTATTGGTATGGAGGCCACACCAAAGGGGTTTTCAGGAATCCTGCAGTACTGTTCTTTTTTCAGTCCCACACTCATGATTATCTGGGTCTATTCTGTAGTTTGGATCTTAAATGCTCCTTAAAGGCCCTTGTGTCAGACAGACATTGGTGCCCAACTTGACACTACTGCGAGGTGGTGGGAACTTTAAGAAAGAGGTGGGACTTGATGGAAGATGGTTAGGTTGTTAGGGGAGGGGC